GGTGGAGAATTCCAAAATGCTCAATTTGAAGAATTTTGTGAAGAACATGGTGTCTCTCATAATTTTTCAGCACCTAGAACTCCACAACAAAATGGAGTAGTTGAAAGAAAGAATAGGTTTCTAGTGGAACTTGCAAGAACAATGCTTAGTGATGCAAATCTTCCTAAATATTTTTGGGCGGATGCGGTTAGTACGGCATGTTATGTTGGAAATCGAGTTATCATTAGACCTATAATAAAGAAGACTCCATATGAACTCTTCAAAGGAAGAAAGCCAAATATTGCTCACTTTCACGTTTTTGGATGCAAGTGCTTTGTTCTTAATAATGACAAGGATAATCTCGTTGTTTGTGATGATGATGATCCTATAGATTTACCCCCGGAAGATCTTTCAATTGATCAAATTAAGAAATCACCGGAAAATCAAGAAAACATTGTACAACAAGATTCAAACACCAATGATCTACCAAAAGAATGGAGAACTCATAGAGACCATCCTATTGACAAAATTATTTATGAGAATGCTTGGTAGTAATTTTTGGTTAAGTGTTTGAAGGTTTTGATTATATCTTTATCTTTTCTTGATTATGGTGATGAAAGCGATAAATGCGGAAAAGTAAAGAACACGGTGATATATCCTGGTTCCCCTCTCAATCCGAGAGTACTCCAGTCCCCTTTCCAACACGAAAGAGATTTCACTATAGTTAGAATGATTGTACATCCTATGCTTACTATCTAACCTATAGGGTGATCAAAGGTTCTTAACACCTTTAAGACCAAACAAACACTAATGTGAATGAAGAACAATCCTCTTCAAATCACAACACTTACTTCCAACAATCCTGGATAGTAAGGGAAAAACCTTTAAGTAATACAATGATTAATTTTGAAGTATATGGAGAGCTTTATCAATCTTCAATTGATCTTCTTCTTCAAGATAAAAACAATTCTCAACAATGTATATAAATGTTCACAATGTATGAATGAAACTTATAATGATAATGAAAGTGTATATGGAAAGTTTCACAAAATTATGAACACATGAAAGTTTAAATTCAAATGTGAGTAAATGAGAAAATTGTTAATGAAGAAGTATATTTGTTAATTTGAAAATTGAATTATTGAACATATATGAAAATGTTATTGTGTTCTTTTTTGAAAATAAGAAAAATCTGCATTTTATAAAGTTGTAAGAACCTCTTCATTCATGCCAATTCATATGAAAAGTTGCAATGCATTCATGAAAAGATACCACTTGAAAAATGTTCAAAAAACAAAGTAAAAGCTGCATTGGTTCGCTAGGAACCGGTTCCGACACTGACAAAACCCGGTTCTTAGTGAACGTTAGAAGTTGGAATTCAAATTTTTCACGTAGGAACCGGTTCCCCTATTGGTACAACCCGGATCCTGGTACAAAATCCAGGGACATGTTTTTTGAGAAATGCTGGAACCTTGTTCCCTGTTAGGGAGGAACCGGTTCCTAAAGGTTTATTTTCAAAAATACATTTTGAAAGATATTTCAAACAAAGTTTTTCTTGATGTTAAAGTTATGGAATATGTATATGTTGATGAATGCATATTGTGAACATCTATATTCAAGATTTTAAGAATTATTTATACCATATTGACATTTGATGATTTCTTCAATAATTCTTCAATAATCTTCAAGACTTTTATTTGATGTTGATAAGCTTTTTGCACATCCTTTGAAAGTTGATGTCCATGTTGTCTTCATCAAAACTCATGCTTTAAATATGACTTGAGAAGCTTGTTGTCTTCACTCATCTTGAATGAATACATAGCTTGCTTTAGGTAGAGGCGATTGACCAATGACTTGGTCATGTACAAGCTTTCGAGTTTCATCCATAAACCCGACGCCGTCATCTCCTTTGAAACTTATCAGAGAACCTTATCACCAATGCTCAATAAGATGGCGTTGTGAGTTTTCTCTATCATAGTCATTTTTTCTTTTTCCGTTAATGCAACGTGTAACACCCCAATTCTACTCGACAATATATATATGAAATCAGAGTTATAAAACTTCCGCAACTAAATCAGGATGCTACAAATTCAACTTAGAACAACGACATTCATTACAGATACATAACACATTAAGCTGGGATGAACCAACAACAACATAAATTAATCTTTTCAAAGCCAACAACTTTCATAACTACGCAGCGAAATCAAACATTTAACTTAAAGAATATAACATCTTTATCCAATTAAAACAACTTCAAATAAAAATTATTTAACGAACAACAACTTAAAGTACAACAACTAAATAATAACAATAAAACAACAGGTGTTCATCCCCCGAGTGTTACGTATCAGAGTAATGACACCAACTCGAACTACTGAAGGTAAACCGCCTTCACTCTGAACTACCTGCATGTTACCAACATATGAGTAACATTCAAACAGAAGGGGTGAGATATCGAACAATATAATAGAACGTATGATAAATAAAACATTAGAATTAGTTCATGCATATTCAGTACTTCTCATATTTTAACAACATAAGCATAATGAAATCAACCACACAACGATTCAGAATGCAACATAAAATGCAACTTGTCTTTATGCAAATGCATGTGGTACCAATGGAGCAGAACTCCCAACTTAAGAATCTGCCAATAAATAGAGGCGTCAACAAGGCATAAGCCTTCAACTTAATATTTTTCCAATCTTGGCCAACTTAACGAGCATCGTCTCCAACTTGGTATGCGATGTATGTGACACAACATGAATGTAGCAAAAAGCGACAACAGACAACAACTAAACTTAAATCAACATTGGCCATAAGCCTACAACATCAACAATAATTCAACATCAATATAATTCAACTTTGGCTATAAGCCTACAACATAATATTTGCCCATAATTAGAGGCATCTCAACATAATTCATCAACATGCATTTTCTCCACTCATAACAACTTATACAGCAATGGTATTGATCAAACCAACACGTACGGGAAAAAGAGATAGGAAGAACTACACTCCACTCGACATGCACCGCAACAAGACATAATAACAACTAACTCAATACCCCTCGACACGCACAAAAACAAAGAAGAATAACAACTAACTTATGCTCCTCGGTACAACCTGCAACTTCGTGTCGCTCGACAACAGTACCGCCCTCCTCGGTACACTTCGCAGCCTAATACCGCTCGACATCCAACACATATATTCTCTGACACACCTCGCAGTATACATGCCGCTCGGCACCTAACACCATCAACACCCTCCTCGACCACTAATTTCGGCCAACAACATAGAATAATACAACAACATAACAACCATCACAACATAATCCATGATTTCCGGCCAACTGCTAAGAATAACACAGCAACAGACAACTATATCTACTTTCAACAAATTCACTAATTGTACAAGACAGTCACGATGAACCCTTCCTATAACGACCACAACAACAATTTACTAATTTTCCTGCCAACCGCTCGGATGAACACAACGTCCTAACGACCACATCAACAGGTAAAATCTACACTAACCTAATCATCGATTATACTGGGAAATTATACAGATAATTCAAAACGCCCACAACATAACAACCGGGCAACTTCCTATAACAGGTTCATTAAACAGTCGTACGGTAACTCCATTAACGACCACAACATGAGGAAACAGACAACTTCAATAACAGATTCATAACCATCAATGCACAACCGTCATACAAACGACTAATTCCCACATAATACACATCATCGATCCCATTATACGGTCAGAATCCCACCCTTACATGGATTGAAGGTCGCTCTACAAAATTTCCAGCCGACAACTTTGCATTATTCTGCTCGACACCGGGCAACTTGCTCCTTTCTTCGCGCGACTTCACACGGTCAGCGCACAGAACTCCTTATTTCACCCAAAATAACCAAATCCTTGTGTCAACTTAACCTTATATCATCAATCCTATTGGGCTTAACTTACACCCCCCCACGTTACTACTTTCAACCGATAACATAAGTCCAACACAATTATTCTATTAATTTCAATATTATAATTATTATTAATCAACTAATTAATTAATTAATTAATAATAATATAACAACTTATACCAACAATTCTCAACATCTCACAACTTCAACCAATAATTCAAAAAATAATTGAATTAAATAATTAATTAAATAAACGGACGTTACACAACGTTCATGGCTGCGACACCTTCAACGGTTCAAACAACCCTGCTGATCTAGTAGAGCTTTCATCTTCAAGTGCCACCGACCGAAATCGTTCACTCTGGTGAACTTTTCAATCTCATATTTCGTTGACGACATCTTCTCCACGCTCACCGCACTGATTTATTGTGAAAACGATGTCGGAATAACAAAGTTTAACCAGTTTATTTATTGGCAAGAAATCCACAAGAGTAGGAAAGAGGGAAGCAAAAAGAACACAATGAATTGGTTATAAACTATTATTCTTTACTTTCTCTTTGAAATAAGATTACAAGTGTTATAGAATAACAAATAACCTTTTTCACCCTAATTAAGATTTGTATTGTGCAATGATGAGAGACTAGTATGCTATTTATAAGAAAACTAACACACTAAATTAATTAATTTTTACACCCAGACTCATTATAAGTTAACTTAGGGAATAAACTAACTTAAACAATTCGGCATGTGCTAACAAACATAACAATATCGACAACTACATACTAGAACACATTTCGACTACATCATGTAAGCCTTTTTCATCAGCATGTAAACAGACTTCAACGACATACTAAGATCTTATCAAATTGTCAAACTAAGAAGATAGCTTACGATTATATTTGAGTTCGATTCAATATCTCACATACCCATATACTAATTAATTGTGGAAAATTTACTCTTACATACATAAATCTATCAAAACACACTACCAAAGCATATTTATTTTTAAATTAAATACACTATCAAAAACATATTTTTAATCAAACATAACGATTATTATGCCGTATAAGTACACAATAGATAATGCCCATGAAATCATGGGTCAGCGAATTTATAAGATAAGCATGCATCCACAGCTTCAGCAACGGTAAGAAAAACCCATTCTTTCCCAATTTTATCCACAAAGTGTGCCACTTTAAGCTTATGAATTACTAGCCACCTTGGATTCACCATACAAAACTGCACAAAAAAAAGTGAATAACAAATTATATTTAATAATTAAATTGCATACATATTTAATAATATTTTCGAGTTTTAAGAAAACTCACTTTTATGCCTCTTGAGAGCAACCTCTTGTGCAGTTCCTCTAGTACTATAATTCCAGAAGTATCAACATTCATCAAATCTATAAAAAAACAATTGTATTGGTCATTCACTCATAAACTCAAGATATTGATAGAAAAATTTGTATATATTGATACTCACTGGTCATCTCCAATATTACTGCTTGGACTCTTCGCTTAGTAGTTTGAGTTTCTTTAAGCCCATCTTCTTCTGTGACCCACTTGAGTATCCTAGAAAAATTATATAATTTTAATTTCAAATTTTCCAGGATAAATTAATTTTTATATATCATCTCTAATATTTTTTAATTAATTAATTACCTTTCTCTAACAACATTGGCATTTGCAAAGCATAGTGAGCCAGAGCTTATACGAATGACCAAAATGCCTGGAGTACTTGTAGCCATGGGATATTGACTAACATCACAAAATGCTTCTGTTGTTGGAATTCTACCTAGAACTTCTATTCCAGGTCGAATTGATTGTATTACTATCTTGGCAAATGAAATTGACACCTACAAAATGTACAACACATCTCAATTATAAGGGTCCTGCCACTTGGAGAGTAACGACAAATAGGAATATAAGTTCAATAGAGAAGCAACAATTATGTAAAGGAGACATATTTGTGGAGCATAATCTATTCTATATTTCAAACTCGAATTATGATACTCCCTCTATTCCTATTTATAAGCAAATTTTAATTTTTTAAATTCATTGAATAATTGATGTATCTAATCTATATATGGACCAAATACATCATTTATTCAATGAATCTAAAAAGTTAAAATTTTCTTATAAATAAAAATGGAGAGAGTACATGTTATGGATGGAAATGCAACCCTACCTTATAGTTAGCACTCACAAAAATATTCCGTATTTCTTGTCATGTTATTGTGTATGTTTCAAGAAAGGGATAGAAGAACTTACAGCGACAATAAGACCAGTTTCAACCGATACAAACAAGACACCTAAGAAAGCACCAATGCAAGCAAGGAAATCAACTTTGTCAACCTTCCATATATAACAAGCTTCTCTTATGTCAATTAATCCTGGAAGTGCAGACAGAATTATGGAAGCAAGTATAGCCATAGGTGTGTAATATAACAGCCTTGTAAATAACTCTAAACACAGAATCACTGTCACTGCCATCACAATATTTGATATTGATGATTGACATCTTGCACTGAAATTTACTGCGGTTCTTGAAAATGAACCTGCAAATTTTTACAATTAAACCAACTTTCAAACAATATAAACAATTTCATGTTATTGCTATGGAATAACACTAAATTTTTTTTTAAAGATGAAACAAATAGGAACATATTGTATAATTATAGTATTTATAAAATGAATATTTAATTTGTGACTAAAAGTTTAGAAGCAAAATCTTCATTTTGTATGTTTTTAACTTTTGTTAGTACTTTTTGTGAAAAAAGAAACTTTTTTTGTACTTTTTTTTTTTTTTTTATATTTTTCTTTTGTACCTCTATGTATCTTCCGGTGAACTCTGGCTTGGTTCATTGGAACACAAATTATTTAAGATCTACTTTTAATTTGCTTTAACAAATCATTTCCTAATTTTAACACATGCTAAAATTTTACATTAATTCTTCACTTGTTAATAGAAAACAAAATTAATAATATGATGTAACACCGACATCTTAAAAAAAAAAAAAGAGTTCACATTAATATCAATGTAACACACGACTTATAATTATATTTACTTTATTTATTTTTTTAAAATTATTATTAATATCGACGTATCAATATTGTGTTCGGTGTATTTCTACGTGCTTAGTTCCTATTAACCACTCACCAGTTGCAACATAGCATGAAGTGAACGATCCTGCAATGTTCCCACAACCCATTGCCAACATTTCTTTGTTCCCATCAAGTTGGTACCCTTTAATTGAAGCAAAAGATCTACCAACAGCCATTGCTTCCTATAAACCAAAAATTAAAAACAAATCAATATTTGAAGAAAAAATTATTAAAAAAAAAAAACTAAGGAAACTAATTATTTAATTAAACATACAGTGAGAGCAATAACAGCAGAAATCAATCCAATTTTTGCTGCTTCTCCAACATGTTCACCACTGAGTTGTAATTGATGAACTGAACTTGGATTAAGCCCTTTTTTCACATGTTTTACTATATTAACCCCATTTTTATCAGCTTTGAAAATATACACAATAAAAGTTGATAATATAACTGATACTAGAGGAGCAATAGCTGGTAACCAAAATAGCTTGTTGTTTCTTTTGCCCTGAAATAAAATATTATACACATAATCACAAACTCATATAAATTATCAGATAAAATATTATACTAGTGGAAATTTGTATGCCAAAAATATTCATTACTAACTTACCATAAATCTTGCAAACAATAGGAAAATCAGAAATGAACATCCAATCACAAAATTCAGAGGGTACCACTGTCAATATAATAAACAAAAACATGTCATATTAAAAATAATAAAAAACTCACATAAACAGTTTTGTACAAAATTTATAATTTTTTGCGACGTCAATTATTTTTCATTAAAGCGTTACTGATGACCATTTTACGACTGTGTTCAAAAAGATATGAACTCGATACTTACTTCTCCGGATGGAATTTGGTGACGGAGTGATTTATAAACCGATTCCAAAACAGAAACAACATCAGATTTATTAGTAAAGTTGCTAATCCCAAGCAATCCCTTAAGCTGTTGAAGACCAATCATGATGGCTGCACCAGCCATGAATCCTACAAGTGCAGCATGTGAAAGAAAATCCACAAGAAATCCCAACCTGCATCAGATTTTGGAAATTAATAACTAAACTACTAACTTTATAATAATGAAATATAATTAATTAATTAATTAATTAAGTAATTAATTAAGCACCTGAAAACTCCAAATGCAACTTGAAAGATTCCAGAAAAAAATGTTACAGTGAAGACAAAATTCCTATAAGCATCATGATTTAAATCTGGATCAACCACTTTGTGACATAAAGAAGATAATAGCAGTGAAACTACAGCTACAGGTCCTATTGCAATTTCTCTTGAACTTCCCATCACAGCATAAATAAGAGGAGGAACAACACTTGTATCTGAAGAAATAGTTTATATTAAAAAAAATAAGTATTCATATTATAAAAAAATTATTGCAATTTTATAGTATAGTTAAATAAAGTTAGATACCTACATAATCCATATTGAGGGTCAAGTTTTGCTAAATTAGCATATCCTATACTCTGCAAGATTAGATAAAAATCAGAAAAATATGTTATTTTATAGTTTTATACATCTGATGGATGTAATGATTCTGGATTATTTATATAATAAAGATTATACAGAAATAGCAGACAAAACTAATGGATGAGTAAATAAATACCTGAGGTATGCTAAGACTAGCTAGAGTCAAACCTGCTAGAAAATCATCTTTAAACTTGAAAGCATCATAGTTTTTGAACAAGTTAAGGATTGGGAACAAACTACTAAAGAAGGAAAAAGCATTTTCATGGCAAGTTCTCTTTTTGGATGAAGAAAAGAGGTTGTTATTATTCTTGAGTGGAGTGATTAGTTTTTTCCATAGAGGAGGTGGATTTGGAGTGTTTAGCATCCACTGTGATCTCTCTATTTGATGAGTATCTTCAAGGTGAAGATGATGTTCATCTTCTGTGAGTCTCATGTTGAAAGCATCTGAGGGTAATGAATTCATTTTTGTTGAAGTGTTTGGGTGAACTCTTGAAGAAGAATCAGTACTTAATAATGTACATTCATGTCAGTTGTCAATTCAGTGGTCAATTAAGGGTCAATTTGGTTTGGATAATTGCTTGAAAGGGGATGGACAGAGATTATTCTTTTGAAGACTGTGTGTGACTTGGAGGATTCTTGTGTCTTGTGGTACAGCTTAGATTTGTTAATCTATAAAGTTGGGAATGTGTGAAGCTAGTGAAGATGAGTATTGAGTATCAATCCCCCTCTATTTATGCTCACCAATTATTACTTTTTCTATATTCAAATGGAAGCTATAGATGAAAAGTTATCTTTGTAATAGTTTTACTAGCTATTTTGGGGAATTGAATATAAATTGTTTTCAATTTTGTTCTATGTAATATTTTTAGAGTTTAAAGATATGTACTGACAATTTAAATTAATATTACACACAGAATCAATCAAAATCTTTATATTTATCATCAAGAGTGGAAATAGGTCAGGTCAGTTTACAAGATCATATGACCTAACCTATTTGAGATCAGACCACCAGACAAGACTTATTTATTAAAAAGGCTAGACTTAGACTTTTGTAAAGTCTATTTAATTAAATAAATCAGACTTAGGCTATTAAAAAAACTTATAAAACCTTGCAGCTCGGCCTATATATATATATATATATATATATATATATATATATATATATATATATATATATGTCGATCTATAAGACTTTTTAAGTAATATGAATTTATTAAAAACCATAATGAGAAACAAGCTTTTAAATAAACTTTCAGGCTAAATCAGACTTTTAAAAAGGTCAGACCAAATCAAAAAAATGAGTTTATAGTAGGTCATAGGTCAGACTCAAGCCTTGTAAGTTTATCTAGGCCAGACTCAGGCCTTATAAAGCCTAGTTTAACCTAGTTTATTTCCACCCCTACTTGTCATGTCATATCGTTATTTTAAAAATAAAAGTGTGTTTTAAATAGATACGTGTCTCTTATTAGTTGACAATGTCAATACATATTCTTTTTTCTCATTTAAAAAAAATAATTCTATCTCTTAATTTTTAGTAATATTTGAAAATGACAAAGATATCTTCTAAAATTCTACAAATCAAAGCATATTTTACATTATTCAAATTCTAAAATTTATACTCTTTTTAACTAAAGAAACCTTTCTTCTTCTTCTTATTTCATCAAACATGATTTTTCACACACCTAAACCACAAATTTGAACATTTAAGTATTGTCTTATTTTAGATGAATTCTTGTTTGAATTAACCATAATTTTTGTATTTTGAAACAAATTAGTGCACAATTGTTTGATAATATGATTTATGAATTATGTGTTTTATCTGGATTACTCATATTCTCCGTATTGTAGAATTCAGACATGCCTTATTTTTGTTTCCGCATTATGAAAATCAGACATGCTTTCAAACATGTCTTCAAATTATATAATTTGAACCCTAACCATACAAAATGATGAAATTAGATTTATGTTATTTTCTTGTCAAATTAGTTGATTAGTTTCTTTTTGTTAGTATTGAGCAAGAAAAACATGTTGAGAACATGCATCATAGAAAACAAAGACTATCTTACTGCATCTGCTAGGAAGGAACGTGCACGTAACATACACGCTAATAGAGCAGGACCATTTGAGCCACAACGCAGCCTAAAGTCTAGGAGCTTGAGTTGAAAAGGCCCGTAATGAAGGTAGTTGATGTGTAAGTTTCCGAGATACAAACGATCGAGTCAGAGGTATATTCAATGTGGTATGTATGACATAATTGTATTGTGTTATTATGGGAGCATGTGGTACATGGGAGGGAGATGTACCTTATGTATATGATGTATTATGTTAGATTTAAGTCTTGTTTTATGTTATTTCTAATTAATTTCTTTGTTTTTTCAGTTAGGGGATGAGCCCCTTGAATGTATTAACAACGAGTAGAAGATTATTGCTTTTTAGATTCTAGAACATGAGTGGTTCATAGTTATCAATCAAGGCACTAGGCTAACCGACTTTACCACCATCAAATTTGTTGTAATGTGCCTTAAAATCTTTGTTGATTAAGAGAAAGAAAACATATTTTGGAGATTTCATATACCGTAAAAATTGGAAGTTTCAAAAAGTCGAACGAAAAGTTAAAAAAATAGAAATACGGAAAAATCAGTCGGTGAATAGTCTAGTCCCATATGGTGAATAGTGATGTACATACAACAAATAGTGTTGCTCGTAAGATGAATAATGATTTCGAGTTTTTTGGACTTTTTCGGCAGTTTCTCCTTTTACGTGATTCAAGATCTTCCGGTTCGGTCCATGGATCTATGTGTGATTGGATTATGTTTTTGGACTTTATTTGTTGGGTATTTGCTATTATAAATATGTATCTCTCATATGCTTGCATGTGTGAAAATCTTAGAGCTTACATCAACAAAGGAGAGCAAGAGTTTAAAGACATAGTGTGATGCGTGTGATGCGGTGGGAGAACTGACTTGGATGTTTTGCGTTTGTGTTCGCAAATGTTGCGGTTAGCAAGAGTCGCCACTGACTTTTCTTTTATCCAAAAGGAAAGGTGAAAAAGTACAGGAAAGACCTTTAGAGATGTTTTCTTGAGTTCAGGGGGTAGATTATGAAAAGGGAAGGTATTAGCACCCTTTTCATCCATGGTTTTCCATGGGCTCTTAGTTACTTGCTAGATCACTTGCTTTTGTTTGAAATTGTGTTTTGTGTGGTTTTTTGAAAGTATTTTATAAAGACGCCATTGTTTAGGCAATCTTTGTAATGATTCTTGTTCGTAAGAATGTATACAAAGATGTTGATCTTTTTGAAAATGTTTTCAATGTTTGTAAGATGTTTGGAAATGTGTGTGTTTGTTTTGAAAATAGCAAGGATATTTGTTTTGAAATGAAGCAAGTAACTAGAAGCAATCTACCTACTCAAATATCTTTCTTGTTCATTTCCTCCTCCTTTAGATGTTTCTATCTTACCATTGAGTTGGTAAGAAGCCCCATCATTGGATGTGACGGGACGGATGTTGGGACGTTTGTGTAGTCATAGAAGGCAACCTATGGGACGTTTTAGCAATGTCGTTTAGGGACTAGATCGTTTACCGAAGGCAACATCGAGGGTCATCAAGGGACTACGATCTTTTATCGAGGGTCTTTGCTAAAACGCCCATGTTCGAGGGATATGACTATTTTTCCGATAGGTAACAAGTGGGGATTACCCTAAGGGTGCGTGTGTGCAAAGTGTGTTTGATTGCATGCATTTAGTCTTGCTTAGGGTGATCTATTTGTCAATTTCATGTCTTGCCATACACACCCTAATTACTAGCATTTACATTTAAAAGCGATAAATTGCAGAAATATAAAGTCCTACGCTATTACAATATTTTAGGGATAGGGGTACATATTTATGAATGGGGGTTGTAGATAAAATTAAATCCTAAGTTATTATTACAACCATATTGAAATGTACAATGTAGGAAAGAAAAAGGACTTGTTTAAAAAATGTTTTTTTATCTTAATGAAAAAGAAATAAGTTAATAAAAGAAAAATATTTTTATGTCTTTTTTTTTGTTAATATTAAAAATGATGAAAAGGAAAACAAATGAAAGATAGAAACAGCATGCTGCTACAAGCAAAACAACAAGGATCAAAAGTTTTGAAACCGGGCGCGTTGTGACTCAGAAAGGAATGTCAGTGGAATCAGAAGTTCTGGATTGGTACACTCTGAGGTCCTGCAAGACACGTTAGAGGAAAAACACAAAAGTTCTGGATTGATATGTGCTGAACTCCTGAATGTTAGAACAGTGAGTAAACCTTAAAAGCTTTGTGCGTGTCAAAACAGTAGGAAGAACTCAGAAGTTTTGTATGGTGCTAAGACAGTGAACGAACAATTAGCAGTTCAACATGTTATCAGCGCATGAAAATCAGAAGTTCAGTGTGTTTAAATAGTGAGGAGAACTCAGAAGTTTTGTGCTGTGTTAAAACAGTGAGTGAATCATCAAAAGTTCTGTATTATGCTGAGCCAGTGAGTGAACATTAGCAATTCAGTGCGTTATCATCATGTAAGCATCAGAAGTTCAGTGTGTGTTAACAGTGAGCGAATCATAGAAGTTCTGTGTGTTATCAACATGTGAAAATCAGAAGTTTTATGTTACATTTCAACTCTTTTCTCATATTAATCAACACGTCAGCAACTTATTCAGTTCTTTTTAAACAGCAAATCAGAAGGATAACAGCACAACAGTTTATAGAAGTTCTAATCCTAATCCTGAGTCTAGGCCTAATCAAGAAGTTCTGATCCATAGTTTTTCTACTTATGCAATGATATGGATAATATTAATTGTGATATTTACATATTAGTGATGTTCTGAATGAAGAAAAATGCAAAGTCAAAAAGACTTACCTTGAATTTGGAGTGTGGGCTTGGAGCTTTGAGTTGCTGCCTTTGGATGTTCTGGAATCAGCAAGAGTAACGGAAGAGAAAATGCCAAGTTCTTTGATTCAAAAGGAAGAACAAAGGTTTGGTTTTCTGTTTGGGATTTCTGGGTTTTTTTATGAAGGTTTCACAACTTTATTTTCTCTCCCTTTTTTTTTGCCAATCTCTCTCCAAAAGCCAGCCAGCCCCCCTTGCAAGTGTGATGGAGCAACTTATTTATAGGTGGATTTGTTGTGATTTTTGGGGGAAAAAACAAATGGGATTTGAAGCTTTTTGGCATTCGGTTCCCTTTCTTTTTGATCACAGTCTTCGTATGCTAGTTTGGTGCAATTATGGGATACAGGCGTAGGCTGAATTAGCTGTCGGTCAGCAGCTTTTAGCCATGCTTAAGCTGGAGTTGTCAGCAGGAATTAAGAAAAAATAAAAAGCAAAGCATGGGCCTAATACCAAGGTTTGCTATCCCAAGATAGTAGAGGTACACGTGGTGGAAATCCTTTGGATAATGACTCAAAAGTGGTTGTGAGCATTAAATGATGATGAGACTTATCA